ACAGAATAATAATGAATCCAATCCATAGACCGAGAAAGGTGTACTTGAAATTAGTGGAAACAGGGCGAGCAAATAACTGAGCAGTACTAAGAATAAGAAACAGAAGAAATATCTCTAGACATGGGTTGGGGAATTAGAAATATATACCCACTTTAGATTAAATAAAGGGTTCATTTCATTTCATAAGTGAGCAGTACTAAAAATAAGAAACAGAAGAAATATCTCTAGACATGGGTTGTGGGATTTGAAATGTCTACCCCCCTTTAGATTAAATAAAGGGTTCATTTCATTTCATATGTGAGCAGTACTAAGAATAAGAAACAGAAGAAATATCTCTAGACATGGGTTGTGGGATTTGAAATGTCTACCCCCCTTTAGATTAAATAAAGGGTTCATTTCATTTCATAAGTGAGCAGTACTAAGAATAAGAAACAGAAGAAATATCTCTAGACATGGGTTGTGGGATTTGAAATGTCTACCCACCTTTAGATTAAATAAAGGGTTCATTTCATTTCATAACTAAGTAGTACTAAGAATAAGAAACAGAAGAAATATCTCTAGACATGGGTTGTGGGATTTGAAATGTCTACCCACCTTTAGATTAAATAAAGGGTTCATTTCATTTCATAAGTGAGCAGTACTAAGAATAAGAAACAGAAGAAATATCTCTAGACATGGGTTGTGGAATTTGAAATGTCTACCCACCTTTAGATTAAATAAAGGGTTCATTTCATTCGTTACAAATGCTGAAGGGCTTGACGACATCAAACGTTATGATAACAAATCTGAGGACAATAGTTTGAATGTAAACAGTATAATTAATGATAACTCCTGATCCCAGAAATTCAGGAAGGAACTTATATTGTCATTCGTTAAGATGTGTACAAATTTTCATACTTTCAGGCTGTATGCAATTGGAATAACTCCTCATCCCAGTAATTTAATTTTACTGTTAATATGTGTACAATTTTTCAAAACTATATGAAACTTTTTAAACTTGTACTTAGTGTTATTTCCATCACACATGTTTTGTGATTTTTTTTATTGTGTGTAAGTGGTGTGTCCTTTAACTTACCATTTACAGTAGACTATCCGTAACATGGCCGAGTGATGATGAACATTCAATTTATGACCAGGAGACCAAGGTTCAAATATTACTCAGGTCGATATGTCAGGATAGTGACTTCTTGAGATTATCGACCTATATAGGCGAACCAAATGCGTGGCACCTTTAAAAAGTGCCTGAAAAGCATACCTAAGCCTTGTGAGTGAAATTGGGTTGACAGAACTATTTGAGAGCTGTCAAAGTTTGAGCTAACATGAAGTTACAAGTCATCGTGACCAAGGGTCTGAGTGCACTGTGTTGCAGTTTTTTGGATATGTTTCCTAGTGAGCCAGTCAAAATGAGCTGACTCATTTTATAGTTCACCAATAGAAGGGTTAACCAATCAGAAAGCTCAAAATATTCAATGCGACGTGTATAAAGGCAGCCACTTTTTTTTCTCTCCCAAATTGTCTGCACTGCCAACCTAATATCGGAGACTTAAAGAATTACATAACAACCGCTCTTTCTTTGAATCTTCACTGCCGACCTCTGATATTGAATAGATTACGGACTTCACTGGATTCCATATTCAAAGACTACGGCAAACATGGTCAACACACTGGCCTTGTTCAGTCTGTTGCTCAGGCCAGAACAACAAAGATGAAGACAATAATTCGAAAGTGAATAATGCTAACTACTGATTTCAGAAATTTCAAAAAGAAATTATCCCATGAATTGTTGGAACAAAATTTTTATCTCATCTTTTCTGTCTTTATTTTTAAGATTCTGACAGAAAAAAAAAAACATATCGATTAGATCACAGTGTTAAAGAAAGCAAAGATGGTGATATTTGTTCAATGAAAGTCTAGTGTCGATAAAATCATCGCTGAAAGCACTTTATTTTTATTTGTTTTTTGTTTAGTGTTTAAATACCATTTTGTATTCAGACCCCAGAACCATTATCGATAAAACAATAGCTAATTATGCTGCCTAAGAAATCTATATGCAGAACCTCATGTTAAAGCGTTATCCTGTCGAGGTTGATAATAGGTGTAACAGCATTTTACCGTTATTATTGGACAGGAAGTATTTTTATCTGCATTATTATTTGCCCTCGTTCTTCTGCAGTCTGTCATATTTCGACTGCTGCTGTCACTTCAGCAATGCAAAGTTGACTGCCTACCTCCATAGATTAAATAAAGGGTTCGATCAGAATTCACTGTAAGTTAGGCATATCGATATACACCTGATGAAGGCCGGGGGGTACAAAGGCTAAAACATTGTGATAGCAAAGGCGAAAACAATAATCTGAATGTAAACAATAAAAATAATGATAACTCATCATCCCAGAAATGGAGGCACGGTGGAGTAATGGATAGCGGCTTCGATTGAGTTTGAGTTCGAATTCCAGTCGAATCCATTACATTCACTTACGTGCTAATACCCTTGGGAAAGGTAGGAATCCTCTTCTCCCTCCAGCTATGGGTAAATAGCAGGACAGACTGGGTTCTATAGTCTTGGATGGCAACTGGTCTAGGAGAAGTACAACTCTGAATTCAAAACCTGCGGAGGGTCTTTTGATGGACCTTGTGGCACGTAGTGCACCTGGTCTCTGTAATCGGCCCTTCAAAAAGTGTGGATGGTCCTGCACGAAACCTTCACCACAATAATCAAATCTCATGTGCTATACATGTGGGTTGGGGACTGCTTGTAAATTCCAAATTCCCATGAAACTCCAAGTTTGGAGCCGGCTCAACCCACTTCGGGAGAATGTCGTTACAGGTACAGGCATCCCAGAAATTCACGCAGGAACTTATATTTTCTACTGTTATCATGTGTACAAGTTGTCATACTTTCAGGCAGTATGTATTTGGAATCAATGTAAACAGGGTAAGCCATAACTGATCAGTAATAAAAAAATAAGCACTAGATGAGATATCCGTAGACATAAGCAGAGGAACGAAAACAATCTACGTTTGTAGATTAAATAAAGAGTTCAGTAAAGGTTAGTCGCATTGATATACACCTTATGAAAGCTGGAAAGCAGACCGGCCAAAATGTTGCGATAAGAACATCAAAGATGAGGACAATAATTCGAAAGTGAATAATGATAAATACTCATTTCAGAAATTCAGCCTAAATGATTCTAGGCTTTCATGATTTGCACCTTGGGAATCTGTGTTCAATTTCCACTGTCGGCAGGGACACTTTATTCCTATATAAAAATTAGAATACAACTTGCGGCTGCATCTAGCTATATCGATTCTAAATCGAAGATACCTAGTTGTCAAACTTGTGGGACGCTTAGATTAATTCAGTGGTGGGGCAAAGAAGGATCGCAGATTAGAATAAATACATGTAAGGCATTAGATATGTTGTTCTAAAGAAAACTGCTGATAATATAATTCGCGAAACACTTGAACAACGAGGCAATATTTAGGAAAACTGAAAAAAAATAGGCCATACCATCTACTAGCCAATCTAACAGTACGTTAAACTCGCGTGTGTGAGGTACCAAGGAAGAGAGGTCATTAGAACAACTGACATGAAAAAATGATTTTAAAAAGACATAGAGAAGACATGTAATGGCGATTGTAAAGTCGCTGAAGTCGAAATGATAGGCCAGGACCTATAACATGCAGACTCATCTTTAGATTTTTTTTTTTTAGATGTATGGTGATAGCACCAAAGCAGATATGGCAGCAATATACTATACACGGGCAAATGGTAGATTTAAGTATGTGCAAGATGGATTGTCTGGCACTTCACACTGAACCAACTTTCTTAACAGCAGACATAGCAATTCATTAAATATAATCTCTCCGATTCCTGTCAGTAGAAAACCTGAAGCCAATATGGTGCAAAGAGTTGTTCTTCTGAAGGTTAGCATCAGTCATGCTGATGGTTGGAAAAATGTTCTCTATGATAACTAAATTAGGGCAGTTTGGTTTTGGTAGCGTTAAAATTCACAAGGTATTTCTTGCCCCAGTTAACAACTTGACACTTGAGTTTGAACATAACTCGCAAGTGAGCAAACAGAGTCGGTCCCATTATTGAATAAAATAGACCACGTGAACATAAAGAAAACGCATATATGGCAGGTAGCGTGTATCTAATTGATCGCTAATTCTATACTATTCTCAGTTACTATTCGGATCACCATTTCTACTCTATCCTCTATTAATATACGGACCGCAATTTTGTATATTATTTCACTATACGGATTACTATTCGAGCGAGTATTATCGAGCAAGTATTATTAATGCGAATGTTATTCGAAGGCGTTTGACACCAGTATTGTTCAACGGTGTTACTATAGTTTTATCTGCGATTACAAAGTCTCTACTACAACGAGCATTACGAAAGTGACAGCGAGTATCCGTTGACGTCTCATTAGTGGCAACGAGTATACATTGGCATTACAAAACCACTGTTTGGATGTCATTTTCGAGATAAACTGCAAGTTTTACCGTAACAGACCGATCGAACAGGAGTAAATAGCTATGTCATCAGCAAAAATATCTAGTTGGTAACTGATAGAATTTACGGTATGATTTTTTTTTAATATCTCATTGCGGAAATGATTTATCTTGACCTAGGTAACATCTGATTTTATTAATAAGTAAGGGTAACGTTTCCCTGCACCGTGCCTGTGAACTAAAAGAAATAGTGCCTATACTGGTTTTATAACAACTGCCTTCGATGAATAAAAGATTTTCGAATAATTCAGGGGCAAATAATCTACAATGTCGTCATAGCTATAAATAGAACAGGAACCAGAATTAGATGGCGATGTCGCAAGAACAGAAAAGGTGGGTGAACGTAAGCTAGTCGAGTACACCGTCTCAGGCTACAGTTTCTTAGGTCCAGGAACGGATTTAAAGAGATTAAAATACTCACCTGCGTTAAACAAATTAGATCAGGCGGTTAAAGAACACGATTTGGCGTACAACAAACATTGAAACATCGGTTCCCGTCCAATCATCGAGGTTAAGCAACGTTGAACCTCGTCAGTACTTTGATGGATGACCTCCCAGGAATACCAGGTGTTGAATATTCAGGTGGTTTAATGCATAACGGCTCGGAATGAAGAATTGGACATCGGGGTTCTAATTTCTGTCGGAGTCGTTATGTTCACTTACGAGCAACAACGCTTGGGAAACGTATGAATTCACCACTTCTCCTCAAAGCTATGGGTTAAATAGTAAAAATTGTCTCAAAAAACAATTATTATCTCGAAAACATTGTTGCAATCCAATATGTTTCGGCTTTAAATAACCTCAACAAGGTTGATAAACTGGTAAAAAAAAAATAATCACCTAAATTTTTCGACTCATAAAAATATAACATGTTCGTATTTGTATCAGATAATAAAGTACATCCTTTTGCTTTCGAAAGTACAACAATACTCTCAGACATATATTATTAATAAATGATTTCCTTTTGTTATTCACAAAATATAGAATTTAATTTCGAGTGCTGTACTTTAAATAAGTGTTTATGTTCATAACAAAAATAATATCTAAATGAAAAAGGTCTATTCTATTTACATTACTTCCGAGTAAACATACATAATTGGACATAATATTAATTAGTATTTAATTTGATATATATATTATATTAAAATGTCTACATAAAAGAAAGTAATTACAATTTTAAACATCCTGCTAACATGACTCAAAATTATCTCACGCAAACTGTATGAAAACAGAATGTATGTTTGTCATCAAACCAAAGATGTGAAACACGAACTAGGCAAGTGAATATAAAAATACAGAAGTTTAGAGTTTTAGTTTACTCCGCTGTGCCTTCTCTGCAGCGACCTTTATAATGAACAAATAATGACACCAAGATTGTTTGATTATGCAAGAAAAACATTTCAAGCATTAAATATTTTGTATTCATCAACAAACATTTTTTTTAATCAGAGAAGAGACAGTGTGCTATAAAAACTCGAATGGATAGCAAAGGACGCATTCCAAATTTTAAAGAACACATTAACAATCCGGAAAATATCATTCTAAACAAAGAAATTAATGCTAAGTCTATAACGACAAAATGGGTGTTTGTCGTCAAGAGAAAAAGCCACAGATACGAACTACGTGCTGGGAGTGTTAATATAGACAATATTCAGTCAGTTATCTGCCATGACTGATACACGCATAGGCGATCATGTATCTTACGATACATGACTGACGAGGTAGATTTTACCCCACAGTAGGTTGCCATTTATTTCTGCGAAAGACCAGTTGCTATCCAAGGCTATAGAACAAGGTCTGTCCTTCTATTTACCCATAGGTGGGGCGAGGAGAAGAGGATTCATAACTTTCCCAAAGGTATTAGCACGTTATTTAGTCCGTTATGTGCAATGCGTGATACATGCTTATGTGATTAGATATATTTCGATACATGACTGACGCATTAGGTTGCCATTTCTTTCTACGGTAGACCAGTTGCCATTCAAGACTATAAAACCCGGTTTGTCCTGCTATCTACCCATGAGTGTGGGAGGGGGAGAAAAGGATACATACCTTTCCCAGGGTTATTAGCACGTCAGTCAATCAGTCAGTTATTTGCCACGCGTGATACACGGTTAGGCGATCTTGTATTGTTTGCCTACATGCCTGACAAGGCAGATTTTTCCCGGAGTTGGTTGCTATTTTTTTCTGTGGTTGAAAAGTTTCTATCCAAGGCTAAAGAACCCGGTCTGTCCTGCTATTTACCTATAGCTGGAGAGAAAAGAAGAGGATTCCTAACTTACCCAAGGGTATTACACCGTCAGTCGCCTTGAGTTACAGCCAGTCAAGGAGAAGAAAATCAGTCAGTTATGTGCCATGCGTGATAAATGCTTAGCCGATCATGTATCTTTCGATACGTGATTGACGAGGCAGATTTTTCGCCACAGTAGGTTGCCATATCTTTCTACGGTAGACCAGTTGCCCTTCAAGACTATAGAACCCGGTTTGTCCTGCTATCTACCCATGAGTGGGGGGGGAGATAAGGGGATACATACCTTTCCCAGGAGTATTAGCACGTCAGTCAGTCAGTTATTTGCCACGCGTGATATACGGTTAGGCGATCTTGTATTGTTTGCCTACATGCCTGACAAGGCAGATTTTTCCCAAAGTAGGTTGACATTTCTTTCTGTGGTAGACAAGTTTCTATCCAAGGCTAAAGAACCCGGTCTGTCCTGCTATTTACCTATAGCTGGAGAGAGGAGAATATGATTCATAGATTTCCCAAGGGTATTACACCGTCAGTCGCCTTGAGTTACAGCCAGTCAATGAGAAGAAAATCAGTCAGTTATGTGCTATGCGTGATAAATGCTTAGCCGATGATGTATCTTTTGATTCATGACTGACGAGGCAGATTTTCCCCGCAGTATGTTGCCATTTCTTTTTGCGATAAACCAGTTTCCATAGAACCCGGTTTTGTCCTACCATTTACCCACAGCGTTGGGGAGAAGAAGAGGCTCCATACCTTTCCCAAGGGTATTAGCACATAAGTGAATGTAATGGATTCGACTGGAATTCGAACTCGGCTCTCCGATTCCTCAATCCGAGCCGCTATCCATTATTCCACCGTGCCTAGACAATATTAAATGAATTTAAACCTCTAAGAAGGGTATTACCAAAACATGTGTTGGGGCGCACCCACCTTCTGACTGATAATGGACTGATCTCTCTACGATATAAGTCAGTGCTAGAGAGAGTAGTTGTGTTGTGTGAAGGATCAGGTTACCATTACATACCGTTGGACTGTAGACTTTTGCTATTGCTACTTACTAACCGGCGTTTGTTATTACTAATCACTCTGTTGTTAATTACCTATTACAAATATACCAGTATTTATCCCTACAACTGTGTTTTTTTTATTCGAATACACACACGCGGGAACACTCCCAACAACTCAACAACATGAATAATGTAAATTGAACCTGATATTGGGATAGCTAACGATGCATTCGAAAGGTTAAAAAAAGTACATAGAAACAAAAAAAAAAATGCCATTCGTCACAACGGAAATACAGATCCCTGAATGAAAATAGGTGGTGCGATTGTTATCAAGAGAAAAAAAAATCCACTGATGCGAACGACGAAATAAAGATGTCATCGTAAATGAAAGAAATTTAGATACCTGGGAATTGTTTTGCCATAGGGTGGACAATGCGACATTGAAATCCGAACTGGCATTGAAATAGTAACGAATGCATTCCAAAGTTTAAAGGAAGTAATAACTACAGGAATGAAAGAAAATAATGCTGATCTGCTATGTAATAACAATATTAAGCAAAGTGTAAAGGAACAGGACAATCCCGTTAGAAAAAATATAAGGTTATTGAACTGCTATGTAGTATCAGTCCTCCTATATGGCAGTGAATGCAGGACCATCTCATCACAGATAAAGAGGAGACTTGAGGCGACACAAAGAAAAGAGTAATGAACTGTTACGTAATATCAGTCCTCCTATATGGTATTAATGCGGGTCAATCTGCTCGAAGAAGTAGAAAAGACTTGAAACAACAGAAATGTGCTTCTACAAAAGTAGGATAAGAATAGCATAGACGGAGCACGTAAGCAACAAAGATGTTTTAAAGTGAGACACAGCGGTGATGTATTTGACAGATAATGAGAAAGGGGGCTCGCAGCATGTAACACTCACAGGACTTATCGAACGTTAGAAGGTCAGGGGAACGTATTAGCCACCGAAAATAATGGCGTGCATCAGTGAATGGGTGGCTTAATCGTTTTGGGAGGCGTCAGAACGGGGCAGAAGTGGCTAAGACTTACAAGTGGCGGGGGTGAAGTTATGGAGAACGATGATCTAATGTATACAAAACGTTAGAATAAGAAACCAGAGAAGTGCGAATATATATTTATTACTCAGATTATGTTCTTAAAATATCGTGTCTTAAAATGGCAAATATCAAAGTTTGTAGAGAGGACTCTGTATAGTCTATCGAACACACTATGAATAACCTACCAGGTTAGATTCGTTAATCAATATTTACACTGAGATAAAATGTTTTTAAAATATCGTGTCTTATATTTAATATGTAATATATATTTATTACTCAGATTATGTTCTCAAAATATCGTGTCTTAAAATAGCAAATATCAAAGTTTGTAGGGAGCATTCTTTATAGTTTATCGAACAAAATATGAATAACCTACGAGGTTAGAATCGTTAATCAGTATTTACGCTGAAATACGATGTTTTTAAAATATCGTGTCTTGAAATGACAGATATCAAAGTTTGTAGGGAGCATTCTGTATAGTTTATCGAACACATTATGAATAACCTACCAGGTTAGATACGATAATCATTACTTACAGTGAGATACGATTGCATTGATGAGTTTGGACAGGATGAGAGGAAGTTGCAAATAAATGTAGTTTGATGGTTTCTTTAAAAAATAAAAACGATAGTTCTTGAAAGTCAACCCTTATTCATAGTTTTTTTTTCTTTCCCTCAACAATACACCATTTATAAATATTTAGAACACATATATATCTGTACGTTTTTTTTTCATTCTTCTTGCATATCCAACGGCGCCTGAGCCAGTCTCAGATGTATATGTGCATATTCTGTCAGTGTTTATTCATCGGGGGTTTCCTGACACGGCGCTGGCAGGACTTATCTGAGAGTAAACATATGCGTGTGTCATCTACCAGAAAAGGAATCCATCTGCAGTTGGAGTGATACAGAGAGACTGGCCACTGTGCGTATTAACCTGAAAATGTGGGTGGAGGAAAATAATTGGAAGTTGGTGGAAATAAGCACAATATATTTTAAAGAAGTTTAACGCAAAAACTACGATGGATGCCGAAAAGTTATACGAACAAAAAAAGAAGGCTTAAGACCACATAATATCGAAACATCAGTCCTTGAACGATCACCAAAGTTAAGAAATATCGAGCCTGGTCAGTACCTTGATAGGTTAACACTTGGGAATACCAGGTGTTGTAAGCTTTGGGCGAGCAGGTGGTATAATATTAACGGTTGGAATTGCAAATTGGAAAGCTGAGTTCCATTTCGTCATATTCACTTAAT